AGAACTGTGCTACATAGGGTTTTCAATGGCTGAATTTTCAGAGCTAGATCAAGGCTTTCATCTGAGGAGCCTCTGGGTGGGTTTGAACCACCAACCTTTCAGTTAGTAGTTGAGCACTTAAGTTGTGCCAAGCTAAAAGGCGGCTTGGCCCCAGAGCAACCAGAATAAACATCCACCAAATAATATGACCATATACATTATTTTTCTTTTCATCCCACTGAATGTTTTGCATTTTTCTAATCCATTTTCTAGGAGCTCTGGTAGCATAGTGCCTAAGGCACTTGACTGCTAACCAGAAGGCTGGCGGTTCAAACCCATCAGCCACTCCTCAGAAGGAAGATGAGGCAATCCACTTCCGTTGTGATACTGCCTTGGAAACCCAAGGAGGGGTGCTATGAGTCAGGGCCGACTCGACAGCACATAACAATAACAACAACAATCCATTTTCTAAATCCATTCTACAAAGACCTTTCTCCATAGCTATCATTTAATCAGAATTGATACTGTTTGTTGATCACAATGTTACCAGGTGAATTTCTTTTCTCACTGTCTTTTCTCAGTGACTATCACTAAGTCATTGCATTGCTTGTATTAATTTCTGTTTTTAAAACAATCAAGACTATACCAATCAACAATCATAGAAATCATTTAGTCAGAGGTGACAACTTTTCCTTTCTTCAATTAAAATTCAATTTCTGAAGATGGGAATGAAAAAATCTTAAAAGATATATTTCACCTGGAAGGTCGACAAAATCTTCTTCTATAATCATTTTTCAGATGATCCTGAAAGAAAAGTAAATTACCAATTTGGTATCTTTGTTTAAAATATATTTAAATACAATTTATCTTCAAATTAATTTCTCCCCAACATGGACATGACAGAAAATTTCAACTCTTCATTTATTTATTCAGTAACTATTTGTTAGTTTCCTACTATAACGAGGAATTCTTCAGGATCTAGTGAAAGAGACAACTTGCCTGATATCTTACTATTTCCAAACCCTGGCCATTACTTCTACTTGAGGTTTATTCATCTTCACCCTGCTCCTCCTCCACCTCCCCTCTCACTCCTCTTCTACCATCAAAATCCAAACTATATGGGCTTCTAGTAATTTGATTAATTATATTTACTTATTTCTTTTCCCTACAAAGAGAGTAAAATAATAGTAAAGGGGAAAAAAAGGCAAAGCAACAATGAAAAAGACAATGAAGAGGGAACCATTTATGCACAAATTTAACCAATTTTTGGAAGACCGAAATTGGATGAAGAGTGATAATTCATGAAATAAAATAAAAGCAGAAGCAGCCTACAGTAATCTCAGAATTTATGTATTCATTAAGGAGAGAAGCTGATAGGCCTCAAAAAAAAAAAAAAAAAACAGTGATGCAGAACAAGGAAACTTGACATCTGAAGGAGGCAAAGAGTAAGACATGGGAACAAAAAAGAGGACAATTAAAAGAAAATCTATGAGCAGAACAGTAATTCCTTTCACTGCCCATATCCTCATAAACACAGAGCTTCCAATCAGTACTCTATTGTCTGTCTCAAATATGACCAGCATCTATGTATGACTAGCCATTTAAAAGTCTCTAAAATAAAAGTCTCTAAAGTAATCTATTGCAAAAGACCTCTTTAAAGTGTTAAAAAGCAAAGGTGTCATTTTGAGGATTAAGGTGCGCCTGACCAAAGCCATGGTATTTTCAATTACCTTATATGCACATGAAAGGAGCTCTGGTGACATAGTGGGTAAGACATTTAGCTGATAACCAGAGGTCTAAGGTTCAAACCCACCAGCCGCTCCATGGGAAGAAGATGAAGCAATCTACTTTCATAAAAATTTAGTCTTGGAAACCCAATGCGGGTTTGACTTGACTTGATGGTTATGTGTGTGTGTGTGTGTATATATATGTGTATATATACACATATATATATACACACACACACACACACACGCATGTGAAAGCTGTACAATGAATAAGTAAGACTGAAGAATTTACACCTCTGAATTACGAAGGTGGTAAAGAATTATGGACTGTCGGAAGAATGAACAAATCTCTCTTCAAAGAACGCTCCTTAGAAGCAAAAAGAAGGAGACTTCATCTTACACGTTTTGAACATGTTATCCAGTCCCTGAAGAAGGATATATTGGCAGACAGTGAAAAAAAGAGGAAGTCCCTCAATGAGATGGATTGATACAGCGGCCACAACAATGGGCTCAAACTTGGCAACAGTTTTGAGGATGATGCAGAACTGGGCAGTATTTCATTCTGTTGTACACAGGGTTGCTATGAGTTGGAACTGATTTAACAACACCTAATACCACCCTCAAATGTTTGTTGTTGTTGTTATGTGCCGTCGAGTCGGCCCCGGCTCATAGCAACGCCTCCTTGGGTTTCCAAGGCAGTATCACTACGAAGTAGGATTGCCCAACCTTCCTTCCGAGGAGTTCAAACCCACCAGCCTCAAATGTTTAATAAGCCTTATTTTTACTTGGCCCAGTGGGATATGAAGAAATGTGCATATGTGAAATAATTTAGAGAATAATAACATACTATTTGTTTTAGGCCCATTTTATGCTTTCTCTGCCTCACCCCTGGAACCCACCATTTTTTACATGGAAACCTAGTTACTTTTAGTAGAGAACAGTCTTTATTTAGAACAAGGGACAGAGGAAAGGTTTGCTCATTATTATGGGAGTACTGCTGGCCCTCTTAGTGGTTCAAGATAAGGAATTGCTATACAAGCCCATATAATATTTTCAAATAGCATAGGCTTTTGTAATGCTTTCAACACTAATCATATTAACAATCATGTTAAGATTAGGCAGCGGCTGATCTTCTATATTTCTCCCTCCTCTTCTCTTTATTCAGGCCTCCCAGCAGCTCAATGGTTAAGCTGTTGTTGTTATGTGTCATCGAGGTCGCTATGAGTCGGACCCAACTCATAGCAACCCCTCCTTGGATTTCTGAGGCAGTATCACTAAGGAAGTAGATTGCCCCATCAGGGTACTAATCAAAAAGTCAGAAGTTTGAATCCACCAGCCACTCTGCAGAAAGAAGATGCAGTACTCTGCTTCAGATGTCGCATTCTGCTTCCATAAAGTTTACAGCCTTGGAAACGCTATGGAGCAGTTCAACTATGTCACTATAAATCAGAATCACTCAACAGAAATGTGTTCTTTTCTTTATAAGCCTCATAGTTCCTAGCTTCTTGCAGCTATTTGCTTTTTCTGGAATCAAAATTGTCTCCCTATAAGCATACAAAATAATTGCTCAGAATAAACCTTAAGCTTGAATTTTGTTGAGTTTTGATTATTTTTAACACAAGTCATTGGTGGAAACGAAATTCAAGCACTTTGGTCTCTGTTCAGTGCTTAGCATTTTAGAACACTGAAGCCCTACACTGAGAGTTAACTATCTTCCAAGGCCTAATTTCTTTTCCTAATTTCAAGTAAAATAAGTTTAATCAAATATGCACACTGAAATGTTAACTAGCACCTGTAAGATACACTGTTCCTCTTTTAAATAGAAAAATGTTAAGGCTAAGGTAGTTCACTCATTCAACAACGGCAAGTCAAGTGCTACTGAGGTACACCAGAACACAGATGATGAACAAGACATTCAAGGCCCCCTAATTCTAAATTAAAGTTGTTGTTGTCAGTGGCAGTCCAATTGGCCTCCAACTCATCGTGGCCCCATGTATTACAGAGCAGAACTACTCCATAGGGTTTTCTTGGTTGCAATCTTTACAGAGGGAGCTCTGGTAGCGTAGTGCCTAAGGCACTTGACTGCTAACTAGAAGGCTAGCGGTTCAAGCCCACCAGCCACTCCTCGGAAGGAAGGTTGGGCAATCTACTTCTGTAGTGTTGTTGTGTTGTTGTTATGTGCCGTCAAGTCAGCCCTGACTCATAGCGACCCCTCCTTGGGTTTCCGAGGCAGTATCACTACGGAAGTAGGATTGCCCAACCTTCCTTCCGAGGAGTGGCTGGTGGGTTTGAACCGCCAGCCTTCTGGTGAGCAGGCAAGTGTCTTAGCCACTATGCTACCAGAGCTCCCCTGTGATATACCACCTCGGAAAACGAAGGAGGGGTCGCTATGAGTTAGGTCCCATTCGACAGCCCATAACAACGATCTTTACAAAAGAAGTTCAAGGAATCACTGAGTGGGTTCAAACCACCAACTTTAGGTTACTCAATCCACAAACGACTTGCACCACCCAGACTCCTAAATTAAAGTTAGAATATAAAAATTTTTAATTTTTATAATAAATACATACTCTGATACTGTCAATATTTTTCCACAGTCAATTGTAAATTGAGCTGCTTCTACGCACTGTGAGAGATCATATTTCTCCAAGAAAATATTATACAACACAAAAGGCTTTTTCAACCTTGGCAAGGTTTGGGGGCTGGATAATTCTTTGTTCTTGGAGGCCATACTGTACTTACACTGTAGGATGTTTAGCAGCATCTCTGGCCTCTATCCACTAGGTGCCAGTAGCATCCCCTCAATTGTGACAATTGAAAATTTCTCCAGACCTTGCCAAATGTCCCCTAAAAGGCAAAATCCTGCCCCAGGAAAGAACCACTGAAGTAAGCATATCCCAATTTTTCCCTCCTCTTGTCTTGTAAATAGCCTATGATGCAAAGGAAGATATTAAAATTAAAAGGCTCAAAACAGTGCTATGGTTATGATAGACATTTGAAAAATGAACTGTATTTGTTTTCAATTCTCTTCCTCCAATGATTACATATAATGTAAACAATGTATGTGCTCACAACACTGTATTTGTCAATGTAGATAGCTAGCAAAAAAAGAACACAGTGACATACCTGCAGATTTTTACATAAAAGGAAGATCATTGATACTGATTCTTAAAAGGGGCGAAAAAGTAAAAAATACAAGTTCATGAGTATTAAAATATATAGTAACAAAGGTGCCCGGATGGTGCAATCTTGTTTGCGCTCCGCTGGTAAACATTAAAAGTTCAACGGTTCGACCTCACCCAGCGGTACCGCTGAAGAACCACGCCCGCTAAACGGCTTCTGTAAAGGTTACAGCTGACACTACTGCACAGCCAACGGAGTTTCTCCAAATGCCTCAATAAACATAAAACATACAGTTAACGATAAGCTTTGTTTGAAATATAGACTACTGAAAGCTAGAAAAGTCCAGAATCATAGAAACAAAAATAAGTTCCCACCCCCCTTAGCCATTCACGACTCACTCATTAGAACTAATAGCTGGCTTTCCGAAGACTTTACCAAAAGATGCTCCATAAATACTAGCCTATTTTTATACTGCATACAAGGTTCAACGTTTTGACAACAGACGAATGAGAATGTCAGAGTTAAAGAAAAATGTTACGTCATCAAGAATCTGTTTCAGACCACCAAGTTGAAGCAAAAGCACACTTTTAATTCGTTTCAATACTTCTACTGTGGAGAAAAGAAAAATGTATTTGGAGGACCAGCAACTGGAAGCAAGCTAAAAAGCAGAAAACATAACATTCGTAGAAGAGAACGATGAAGAGACAGCGGAGGAACAAAAGTAAATAACTCGGGCTATCGGCACAAAATCAAGCCGATTGCGTGGCTTTCCCAGTGAAATCCTCAGGAAGCCACATTTGCAGCCTAACGTTTCATTTTCTCCCTCCTTCGGCGCGGATGCCAGGAGCGCAGGCCTCCTACTCTAAAGGAAGGCCCAGGCCTGTACTCACCAGACCCGACGCAGCCATATTCCCACCCGGCTCCGCCCGCGCAAAGGCTCTCAGGTTGACAGACACACAAGCGGCGGCTAAAAACTGAGCACCGACTGGATCTCTGGCCGCGCAGCGTAGTTACGGTCCCGGAGTGTCTGTCAGTCAGGAAGCGATCGCAAGGGAGATAGCCACCCGCATCGGCACCTCGGGATCCAGCCCACCGGCTGCACCCTGCACCCGACACAGTGGGGCGCGCTAACCAATTTGAACTAGGTTGCACATGCGCAAAACAGACCGTGTAACCCAATGAGGTAAGACGAAAGCCGTTATTGGGCCAGCCGCGTCACTGGGATGGGTCACCGCCTCTTCCGCTCAAAGCGCAGACCCCCCTCCGCTTCAAAACCTGCGTTCTTCCTGTTGCACGTTTGCCTCACGTTCGTCTTTCTGCTCCAGCAGTTTTGTCCTGCAGATGAAAGTAATACTTGGAAAAATCAAAATTTTAAAAAAAGCATATTGCTGTCTGGTCAATTCCAACTTATAGCAACCTATAGAGCAAATTAAAACTTCCCCATAAGGTTTCGAAGGCTGTAATCTTTATGCAAGCTCTTGTGAAACATGGTGGGTTGAAAGCACCGACCTTTAAGTTAGCAGTTGAGCGCTTAATCACAGCGCCACCAGGGTGGCTTCTTGGAAGGATAACAGGTAGAAATTGCAAAAGATGAAGAAAACGTTCGCCTATGCAACCTTGTCAGCCACAACAAAACTGAGAGAACTCTGACGCTGATGATAGTGATGATGGTTTATATTCAAATACGTGGGTGATATTTTTTTATGAAGTATTGCCAACAAAACGACTTGTGTAAATATATACCATTATGTATGATACTCTAAAAAGATTCTTAGACCAGGAGTTTGGAAACCTGCTTAGCCATTAACTAGATATGTCATCTAGGGCAAATTGTGGCACTCTTCTGGGTGATTCTTTAAATGTATGGTAGGAAGGCTACCTTAGATGCTCTAAAGATCTCTTTCTACCTACCTATGATTCTGTGAAACTATCTCATTTTTTTATTTTATCATTACAAGAAAATTTTAATCAGAAACTAGATTACCCATTTAATACATGCAATTAATTTTTTAAAACTTGGCAATGCTTAAATTAGTTGAAACTGACTTGATGGCACTTCACAACAACAAAGAGGGTTGCTATGAATTGGAATTGACTCAATGGCCATGGGTTTAGTTTTTTGATTTTTATCAGGCTTAAAGCCACATTAGTGGTTCAACAGTAGAATGCTCACCTTGCAGTCAGGAAACCCAGTTAGATTCCTGGCTACTGCACTACATACACAGCTACCAGCCATCTGTCTCTGAAGGCTGGTGTGTTGCTATGATGTTGAAATATTTCAGCAAATCTTCCAGATTAAAACAGACTAGGAGAAAGGTCAGATGATCTTCCCACAAAAATGAGACAATAAAAACCCTATGGATCACAACACTCTGATCCGCAACGTACCATTGATAGTCTTTCATTCATTTGTGCATGGGGGTGTTACCATGAGTCAGATGACTAATACAACTAACAACAATAACATCCCATGTTAAGACTATTTTGAAGGAGTAAGAAAGCGGATTACACTTGGCCTCTGAAATCATAGTTAGGACTGGGTTTCAATCTTAAACCTCCATTTGGGGCAAATAAACGATCTATTGCTCAGTTCTCTTGTCTGTAAAATAGAAATAATCATAATAAAATTGTTGAGATTAAATAATTCCTGTTAAAATCTGAAGTGGAGCCAAGATGGTGTCCTGCTAACACACTCCACCAAATCCGTCTACAACAGAGACCTGGAAAAACTAAGTGAAACAGTTAAAAATAATGATACTGGAATTCTGAGCATCAAATAAGAAGATAAAGAATTAGAGTGAGCACCGATGGGAAATGGGAATGGAGTGAGATTAGTAACTGGGGAGAGAGAAGAGACTGAGACCAGCCCAAGCAGGGACATCTTGAATAGAGACATGGGATGCTGATGAGGAGGTGAAAAAAAAAAAAAAAAAAAAGCCCATGGAATCCACACAGCATTAATGACACAGTGTAGACAAATTGGGAGGAATCTGAGGTAAGCAATAGACATGCAGGAGCTGGGAGAGGAACATGCAGAGATGTGGGTCAGAGTTACAGGGGCACAGATGGCCATGGAGAAGGAGGGAATGAAAAAGCTACTCAAATAACTCACCACCAGCAGAAGCGGGGTTTGTGCTAGAGAAAGGCCTGTGTTGGGACTGTTGAAGAAACAGCTTGGGACACTCTCTTGCTCAATTGAATCCGGACAAGAGCAGGATAAATGGCTGTGTGTACACATCCACACCAAAGAATCAAGATAGGAGGTATTTAGTCTCTGATCTAACAAATTCACACCTTCCCTGTGCGTAGGGGTAAATACTCTTTCCACAGACACAGACTCAGTGAATAGAGAAGCCCCACCCTCACCAACCCTGGATCCCTGGACACCTCCACTCTAGCAGACTGAATTAGGGGCTGAAACTCACTTGCTGGGTACCTAAGGGACTAAGAGAACTTACACAAGAGGTACAACGCTGCAGCCGCCACTCTTAGGGGGTTCACTCATGCCAGGAACCTCCCAACTCTGAGAAAGAAAAGGCCTATGTTGGAGTGGTTAGAGAAAACAGTATCAGGGCAGTATTTCACTACAGTCTGGGCAGGAGCTGGATAAATGCTGCATATGCCCAGAAAGGTGCCAGGCCCACACTAGGGAATCAAGACTAGTAAGCCACACTCTCCACTCTTCAAAGTACAGCTTCCCTATGAACAGGGGCAAAACCTCTCTCCACCACTGCCAAGCCAGTGACCAAAAAAGTCCCATAGCCACCCACAGGAACACATTCCCAAAAGTCAGATCCAAAGGCTGTGGCTATACCTTTCTCCGCATATATCTCAGGCTGATCCTTCTCATACTGAGCATAAGAGACATACATCTGCAGCCTTTTCTATTGGAGGAGTCCACTCATGGCAGACTCCTGTTATCTCCACAGGCACATATCCCAGTGGACCTGTAGTTTCTGCTACCCCATCCTGCTCCCAGGGTTGCTGGCTGACAGTAATTACAAAAGTCCTTCCTCCTCAATTTCCTTGTTTCCCTTTTATATTTCTCTTTTTCCTTTCCCAATTTTTCCTCCCTTTTTGCCTGTTTATTTTTCCCTCTTCCTCTTCTTACATTTTTTGCCAATCTTTCAACTTGACACCCACCCTTTTTCTTTTGTCTGTATTTATTATCTTTAAGGAGCTCTGGTAGCATAGTGCCTAAGGCACTTGACTGCTCACCAGAAGGCTGGCGGTTCAAACCCACCAGCCACTCCTCGGAAGGAAGGTTCCGCAATCCTACTTCCCTAAGTGATACTACCTCAGAAACCCAAGGAGAGGTCACTATGAGTCGGGGCTGACTCGACGGCACATAACAACAACACAACATATATATATGTGTGTGTGTATATTATATATATGTATATATAATGGCCTTCTAAGAGCTCAAGAAAACCATAAACAAAAGAAAGACAGATAATACCCTTGAAGAATTCAGGAAAATCATATAAGAACAAAATGAGAAAATAAATAACAATTAGAAAGAGTAGAAAAAACAGCTTTTAGATATCCAGAAGATGAGCACTAAAATTGTGCCAATAAATAACACATTGGATGGACAAAAGAGCAGAATTGAACTGGTGAAATAATGCATATCCCAGTTAGAGACCAAATCCCTTGACATCATTGTGTATAAGGAAAAATTAGAAAACAGAATGAAGAGAAATGAAGAATATCTAAGAGTTATATGGGATAATATCAAAAGAAATAACATACACCTGATTGAAATTCCAGAACAAGAGGAAGTGAAAGAAAGAAGGAAGGAAGGAAGGGAAAAGAAACCAAAGAAAGTTGTTGAAGACTTGATAACCAGAAAAGTTCCCCAATATCATGAATGATGAAAAGATATCAATCAAAGAAGCTCAAAGACCCTCATACAGCATAGACCCCCAAGAGAAAGTCATCAAGATATATAATAATCAAACTTTCTAAAAACAAAAACAAAGAATCCTGAGAGTAGCTTGGGGGGTAAAAAGAAATGTTACCTCCAAGGGGCAACCAATAAGACCGAGCTCTGATTTCTCAGCAGGAACCATGTAGGCAAGAAGGCAATGGGAAGATATGTATAAAATCTTGAAAGAAAAAAAAAAAGGCCAACAAAGAATTATATGTCCAGCAAAACTATCCTTCAAATATGATGACAAAATTAGGACAGTCCCAGCCAAACAGAAATTAGAGAATTTGTAAAACCCATAATGTGTGATTTACAAATGAATAGCCCTGAAACATTGTCCGATAAAGTGCCTGAAGATGAGCCCTCCGATCAGAAGGCATTCAAAATACAACTGAGAAAGAGCTGCCTCCTCAGAGTAGAGCTGACCTTAATGATGTGGATTGAGTAAAGCTTTCGGGACCTCCATTTGCTAATGTAGCATGACTCAAAATGAGAAGAAACAGCTGCGAATATCCATTAATAATCAGAGCATGGAATGTATGAAGTATGAACCTAGGAAAATTGGAAGTTGTCAAAAATTAAATGGAACACATAAAGATAGATATCTTAGGCATTAGCAAGCTGAAATGGACTGGTTTCAGTCCTTTTGAATCAGACAACTATGTAATCTACTAGGCCGGAAATGACAAATTGAAGAGGTATGGCATGGCATCCATCATCACAAAGAATGTTTCAGGATCTATCCTGAAGTACAATGCTATCAGTAATAGGATAATATCCAGTGCCTAAGGCATTTGACTTCTAACCAGAAGTCTGGTGGTTCAAACCGACCCACCACTCCTAGAAAGGAAGATTGGATGATCTACTTCTGTAGTAATACCACCTCAGAAACCCAAAGGAGGGTCACTGTGAGTCAGATCTGACCCAATGACAGTGAACAACAACAAGAAAGACCAGTTAATAGTACTATTATTCAAATTTATGCACCAACCACTAAAGCCAGCAATGAGGAAATGGTAGATTTTACCAAATTCTGCAGTCTGCAATTGACAAAATATGCAATCAAGATGTGTTGATTATCACTGATGATTGCAATGCAAAAGTTGGAAACAAAGAAGAATCACCTGTAGTTGGAAAATATGGCATTGGTGATAGAAATACCGCTGGAGAATGCATGATAGAATTTGGCCAGATCAACCACTTACTCATTGCAATTACCTCTTTCAACAACTTAGCTGGTGGCTATGCACATGGACTTCACCGGATGGAGTACACAGGAATCAGATTGACTACATCTGTGGAAAGAAATGATGGAAAAGCTCAATATCTTCAGCCAAAACAAGACCGGGAGTTGACAGTGGAACCAACCATGAGCTACTGATATGCAAGTTCAAGTTGAAGCTGAAGACAATTAAAACAAGTCCACAAGAGCCAAAATATGACCTTGATTATATCCCACCTGAATTTAGAGACTATCTAAGAATAAATTTGATGCATTGAACACCAATAACAGAAAACCAGAGGAATTGTGGGATGACATAAAGAACATCATACATGAAGAAAGCAAAACGTCATTAAAAAGACAGGAAATGAAGAGAAGACCAAAATGGATGTCAGAAGAGACTCTGAACCTTGCCCAAAAGTTTCTTGCTAAAGCAGATGGAAAAAATGACAAGATAAAAGAGGTGACAGATTGAGAAAAAAAAAATATTCAGCAATGACTTATCTGACAAGGAACTTATCTCTAAAATGTATTTAAAAAAAAGGAAGAAAAAAAAAAAAAAAAAACTCCAATACCTCAACAACAAAAAAACAAACAATCCAACTTAAAAATGACAGAAGACATGAACAAACACTTCATCAAAGAGGATATTCAGGTGGCTAACAAACACATGAAGAAATGTTCATGATCACTGGCCATTAGAGAGATGCAAATCAAAACAACAGTGAGATATCATCTTGCCCCAGCACTAACAGCAAAGTTCAACAAGACATAAAATAACAAATCCTGGTAAGGATGTGGAGAGATTGGGACTCTCATGCACTGCTGGTGGGACTGTAAAATGATACAACCATTATGGGAAATAGTATGGCGATTACTTAAAACATTGGAATTAGAAATACCATTTGATCCAGTAATCTTATTACTAAGTACATATCCTAGAGATGTGAGAACCAGGAGAAGAACAGATTCATGCACACCCATGTTCATCGCAGCACTGTTTACAATAGGAAAAAGATGGAAACAACCTAGGTGCCCATCAACAGAAGAATGGATAACCAAACGATGGTACATGCAAGCAATGGAATATTATGTAACAATAAAGAATAATGTAGACTGTACTAAAGAATAATATAAAATAATGTGGATGAACTTGGAGGATATTATGCTGAGTGAAATAAATCAATCACAGGAAGAAAAAAAAAAAAAAAGAGGTGACAGAAGATTTCAAACAGTGGCTCAAAAGGACAAAGCCCATTATTACAATGAAATGTGCAAAGACCCGGAGTTAGAAACCCAAAAGGGAAGAATATGCTCAGCATTTCTGAAGCTGAAAGAAGGAAAAAAAAAAATTCAACCCTCAAGTTGCAATATTGAAAGATTCTATGAGCAAAATATTGAATAGTGCAGGAAACATCAAAAGAAGATGGATGGAATACACAGTATCACTGTACCAAAAAGAATTGGTGGATGTACATCCATTTCAGGAGGTGGCATATGATCAAGAACCAATAGTATTGAAGGAAGTGGTAGAAGCTTCACTGAAGGAATTGGTGAAGAACAAGGCTTCAGGAATCAGTGGAATATCCATTGAGATGTTTCAGCAAACAGGTGCCGTGCTAGAGGCAATCACCCATCTATGCCAAAATTCAGAAAACAGCTACCTGGACAACTGACTGGAAGAGATCCATATTTGTACCCATTCCAAAGAAAGGTGATCCCACAGAATGTGGAAATTATCAAACAATATCATTAATATCAT